TTAATGTTTAAGAAATTATAATAATGGTTTATTATTTTTTAATCCCGTATATATTTTTTGTAGAAAAATTCTACATTTATTTAATTGTGCTACTTGTTAAATGTTACTTGGCGATTATGAAATATAAAGTAATAAAATCTAATTATATTTATAGTAGTTACAATTATAATTAGTAAATTTTTATTAAATTTATATAAGAAATATAACTAACAAATTAATAAAAATCTAATATTTTAAAAATTTAATAGTTATATAATTAAAGTCAATCTGGGGATCGGGTGATAAAAGTCAATCGCTATTTCAAATTAACTAGTCAAATTAAAATACTAAAACTAAAAATATAATTATAACAAAATATCAGTTACTATAAATATAATTAAATTTTATTACTTTATATTTCATAATCACCAAGTTACATTTCACAAGTGGCACAATTAAATAAATGTAGAATTTTACCACAAAAATATATACGTGATTATAAAATAACAAACCATTATTATAATTTCTTAAACACTAAACAATTTAACTACACAAAACTAAACATTTCTAGATTTAATTTAATACAATATATTATGTAATAACCTATTACAAGTGTACTCTAGTAGATCCAGTGTGCCCAGTGTGCCACGGTGTGCCCTAGTATGCCCAGTGTGCCCAGTGTGCCAGTGTGCCCAGTGTGCCAGTGTGCCAGTGTGCCCAGTGTGCCAGTGTGCCAAAAGTCAGTGTGCCAAAAAGTCAGTGTGCCCAGTGTGCCCGGTGTGCCCAGTGTGCCAAAAAGTCAGTCCCGGTAATATTTGATACGTTTGAATAAAAATGGTTTATATAAAAATATAATGTTAACTTTTATCAAAACTAAACCATAAATTTAAAATAAATTTCATTTGTTTATTATGAAATAAGTTATGAAAAATAATTACAGTTTTATATAACAAGTAAATAGCTTTGTAATAAATTAAAACATAAATTTTTATTTAAGCAATTAATTTATATATAGTTTTACAATAGTTCAGAATATTTGTTTGAATTTATTCGCAAAATATTTAACTTATTTATAATATGATAAAATCCATGACACTTACAATGTTCAAAGTATATAAAATTTTACTTAATTAACGGTTTTTATAATGACAAATACCATAAAGTATTCTGAGACATGTCCTGCTCACTTTACTGATCCCCATGATGTAAACCACCTACTTGTGAACGGGTATATTTTGTGGGTATTTGATAGGTTAGGCGGACAGTGTAGTGTTGTACGAGAAGGTAAATGCTTTTTAAAAATTTTTTACCATGGTTTGTTTAGAAACATACTGCTAACTAATATACTAACTTGTAAGAATTAGTCATAAGAACTGTAATATAATAAAAACATTTTAGTCTTATTTATATAAATGTTTGGTTATTTAATTATTGGGCCTATATAGTCATACCATTTTTGTTCATGATACAAATATTTAAAGTATTTAACATAATTAATTGTTAATATTTTGACAATTCAATACGGAGTGGGTGTTGGTATCAGATGGTGGCGGAGGTGCTCACGAAGTCCTACCACTGAGCCATTCCAACCACACGTAGGAGTCGACAAAACACTACTAATTCTGAAGGGAACGACACTTTGGATAAAAAAACGTAACTTTTATTTACAATATAAGAGATGGTTGTCCAGACTAAGACTGTGTTAAAGCATACAAATGAGTATCTCTTAAATGCAATGTTCAAGTCATACTATATTTAAATAAATTACTTTTACAGCTCTTAAATATTTAATAAAATTATAAAGTTTACCTTATAAATTATAAATTATAAGTAAATGATAATTTTATTTTTAACATGGTTTTTTATAAAAATATTAATAGTTTGTATACTAAACATTAGCCATAAGGATTGTAATGTAATAAAACCTATAGTTTTATTATTTATATAAATGTTAGTTAATTAATTAATTTGCGATCTCATAATTAGCGCATATTTTATCCATGGTAGAATTATGTATAATGTTGTCCCTAATANTAACATGGTTTTTTATAAAAATATTAATAGTTTGTATACTAAACATTAGCCATAAGGATTGTAATGTAATAAAACCTATAGTTTTATTATTTATATAAATGTTAGTTAATTAATTAATTTGCGATCTCATAATTAGCGCATATTTTATCCATGGTAGAATTATGTATAATGTTGTCCCTAATATATCAAGAACATATTATTTAAAAAATAAAATCATTCACCTGAATCATTTCCATTATTTTTAGTGACAAATAATTTTGTTAATTAACCTAAAATAATTGA